TGCCAGCCTTGAGATCTCGATGAATTTGCTGATTCGAATGGAAGTGACGAAGCGCGATGGCGGTCTCGTGGAGTATGTAAGCGATGATTCCGATGTTCTGAAGGGGATAGGATTTCGTCACGCGCCACGAAATTATTACGTTAATGCTGTGGCCAGTAGACTTCTTGTACTCTCGTATGACGTTCTGACAGGAGCCGCCGTTGATGAGAGGCATCACCAACCACATTTTGGCGTCCGGGGAAGAGAACGCCGCGTGGTAGGCGATTACCTGAATATCAGGACATTGATAGTAATGGTGGTAATAGTAGTAGTAATAGTAACGGTAATAGTAACGGTAATAGTAACGGTAATAGTAGCGGTGATAGTAGTAATAGTAACGGTAATAGTAGCGGTGATAGTAGTAATAGTAACGGTAATAGTAGCGGTGATAGTAGTAATAGTAACGGTAATAGTAGCGGTGATAGTAGTAATAGTAACGGTAATAGTAGCGGTGATAGTAGTAATAGTAACGGTAATAGTAGCGGTGATAGTAGTAATAGTAACGGTAATAGTAGCGGTGATAGTAGTAATAGTAACGGTAATAGTAGCGGTGATAGTAGTAATAGTAACGGTAATAGTAGCGGTGATAGTAGTAATAGTAACGGCAATAGTAGCGGTGATAGTAGTAATAGTAACGGTAATAGTAGCGGTGATAGTAGTAATAGTAACGGTAATAGTAGCGGTGATAGTAGTAATAGTAACGGTAATAGTAGCGGTGATAGTAGTAATAGTAACGGTAATAGTAACGGTAATAGTAGCGGTGATAGTAGTAATAGTAACGGTAATAGTAGCGGTGATAGTAGTAATAGTAACGGTAATAGTAACGGTAATAGTAGCGGTGATAGTAATGGTAATAGTAGTGGTGAGAGTAGGGGTGATAATAGTGGTGATAGTAGTAGTGATAGTAATGGTAGATTGTAGCTGTACTAATCCTAGTTATATTCTCTGTGATAGTAGTACAGTGCATAACCCTATTACATTAGGATGAGTACACATCCTCATAACTTGTAGCTCCTTACGAATATCATCAAAAGTAGTGCCATCCAAACATTCGAGATCGATCACTTTAATGGCAACATCTTCACCAGCATGATCACCCGTTGCCACACTAGCTTTATATCTGACAAACAAGGCGTATCTTAGGTTCAACCAAGCCCAACACGGGAGAGGTCCACACAAAGTAAAAGATACCCCATTGTTTATACCAACCTACACCGTAGCAAAAGCGCCATACCCTATAGGGCATTTGAGCTGATAGCCATCAGTAGTAGTCGGCCACTCAGTGGGAGGCTCTTGAGCACACTGTGACGGTGAAGTTGTCCCCGTCATAATAAGAAAGGGTATTTGGAAAAAGTTAAAAAGTGAAAATTGACATTCGTGCAACGAAAACTTCGCTCCGCTTGGAAAATCTCGCTCGCCCAGATGATCGTTTCCGCTCTGATCCGCTATTGTAAGCCCTTATCTCTCTCTCAGTCGCAGCGAGGATTGAACCATGGTAATAGGGGCGATAGAGGAGGATAGTTTATGTAACCTGCTCTCGCTGGAGTTTTTAATTGAAGGTGGGAAAGTTGCATAAACTGTTTTTCGTTCAGGCCAAGTCTGGCAAGACCAACCCCATGCGCAATTTGCGCATCGAGAAGCTTACTCTCAACATCTGCGTTGGCGAGTCCGGCGATAGGCTCACTCGTGCCACTCGTGTCCTCGAGGCCCTCACCGACCAGAAGCCCCTTACTTCAACTGGTACGACCACCCTCCGTTATCCGCGTCAATTTACCTTGTCTTTTTTCAGCTCGTTATACCATCCGCTCGTTCGGTATCCGTCGTAATGAGAAGATCTCCTGCCACGTCACCGTCCGCGGTGAGAAGGCCGCCGAGATCCTCGAGAGGGGCCTCAAGGTTAAGGAGTATGAGCTCCGTGATCAGAACTTCTCTGAGACTGGCAACTTCGGTTTCGGCATCAGCGAGCATATTGATCTTGGTATGAAGTACGATCCTTCTACTGGTATCTACGGTATGGATTTCTACGTCCACATGGGCCGCCCTGGTCGTCGTGTTGGTGAGCGCAAGAGAAAGTCTGCTCACGTTGGTCGCCATCATCGTGTTTCTGCCGAAGAGACCAAGGAGTGGTTCAAGACAAAGTATGACGGTATCATCCTCAACTAAGCAGTGCCGACTCTTGTGAAGATGTTGACGGAATTTGGCTTTCGGACCATTTCAGCTGCGAGGGGAGATTATTTCGTTGTTGAGTTTGCAGTAGTACATAAATAACTATGATATTGGAAGTGTATGGTCTTCTTATTCGGTAGGGTATTTCGCTGAGGAAAGCTGCAGATTGCCCGTGTTGACGAAATCGGTGTATATGTGAGTTTTAGCACAAACGTGATTCGATCTGTTCTTTTTGCCAATTGCCGAGGTAGCCTTACAAGGCTTTATCACGGTAGCGTCGTGCTGTATTCGGTTTCGGGAGAGTTAAATGACTTGCCATAGTTTTATGCGCGTTTCAGTAGGTTACATAACTGCATTTTCATTCACTTGACGAAGATCACCACTGCTTATTCGTTTTCGGTGATGAACAACAGGTCGAGCACGAGTGTATTTCTTGGTCCGTTTCTATTATAAGCTTATCTAGGGTGAAAATTCGGTTAATCTCATTTCCAAGTATTGACTATTGAAGGGGCCAGAAATTTGATGGATTGATTTTCGCAACCATATGTGTTTGGCTAGGTTGAACAAGCATCGGATGATAGTCTTATCGAACTGCGTGATCGGTGTTGGACTTTGACGTCACACAGTTGAAACCGGAGTTGAATTTGAGGTCAAGTAACGATGGTGACTGGTCACAGTGGTTCAGAGAGTGAGATGTATATATACATGCAACTGAATAGGCGAACGACATCTCCGCGCGTTCCTGTGGAATGCATTCTTGAAATGGAGGGATCGCAAATTGTATGATAATCGATATGGAAGTGTTGTGGGTGTAACATGAATGAGCCAAGAAAATAGTATAGCGATCCATGCTGTGCGCCACCGGAGTGGTTTACTCAACTAATCAGACGGAACCTAACCTGAAGTCCAGGAAATGAAGGTCGATGGAAATAAGGGCCGCCCGGCGTTTGCCGGGCGGCCAATCGAAACGATAATCAGGCAAACAATCTCTACCCACTTCTCAGATGCTCATCTGCTGAGGTGCCTGGGAAAGAGGATGATAGATCAAAGGATGAGTCGCCCCTCAAGGTAGTGACCTGCATTTTCGCCTGATGGTTGGCATAAATATACTATATGTAAATTATATAATCCTTTCAGGATAGCGATACCAATAAGGCGGCTGACGATAATTCAGGTCGCTTTCCTCATCGTCTTTTGAATAATTATGGGTGGCTCCGCTATGATGCACTCACTGCTACGGCATATTGTGTGGCATGCCGCAAATATGGCCCTGCCAACTCCTTGGGCCGTGGAGTAACAAACTTCCGTCGTGTGACTGGCCAGCATGGAACGTTTGCCGCACACGATAAGTCTCGTGAGCACGGCAGTGCAATGCTACGCTTGTCGACAGAGTCTGGCAGAGGTAGCGTGCTTAAACAGCTGGTTTCTACCGCCGCTGATGAGTGCAAGCGAGGCAGAAGAGCTTTGTTGTGTATTATCGACATAGTTCGCTCAGCACTACGGCAAAATTTACCGTTGCGGGGGCACAGCCATGCTGATAGTAATTGTAATCAGTTGATCCAACTATTGAGGAGGCACAACAGCGACCTCCAATGGTGGCTGAGCAGATCAAGCAAAG